AGGTTGGACACCCAATGGTACATACCATAGTCAGAAAATAAAAAATCAGAAATAATTGGTGAACGTGAGAAAACACAAAAGTAACAAATAAAAATATAATGAATGTTAAGTTTTAAGGAGCTTCAATCCTTCAAAAACAAAGGAAGGCATTTTTAAAATATGCAGCTTGTTTAACTTGTCAAAACAAGATCAAAATATAGGTGAGGAAAAGACTATACCTAACAAAAGAATAAAAATAGCCAACAGGCTGTCAGGCTAATCCAAAGACAAAAATCTGCTATCCCTAACAACTGCTCTTACCTAGCAAACCAATCTCACAAGAACAGCCAACATATCAGAGTAGATTTTATTTAAATCAAATGTAAGCCATTAGTCAGGAGATTGAATTTTAATGGACACAGTGTCTTCTTCATAAAAGTTCTATTTGCTGGTGAATGTGAGACACTCTCATGACACTTTCATCTGCAGTATCATAAAAAGTATGCACAGACCTATTTTTTTGCTAATGACACTCCCACCAGAATGTGAGGTCAAAAATGAAAGGTAATTTTTCTATCTCTTCCATACTATCTGAAACAGCCAGGGTCAGAACTAAAAGGAAGCTCTTCTTTAATACAATGGCTTTCCCACTAGACAAACTGGTTTTGTCCTACATAATCCCTATTTCCTGGTATTATCTCTGAGCTTCCTCTTCCAGGGTGGTAAAATACTCCTTATGTAAATAAAAGATCTACTGAATGTATTTGTTCAGAGCCAATGGTCTAACAAACCTACGTCAAGTTTTCAGTAAACATCCAACAACCTTTAAAACTTCACGGAGGGTTTCACAAGAGGAAAATCAGTGGTATCTCTATGACTCAGAACAGATTAAACCACCACACAGGCAATTAACCAACATAATTAGAATCATGCAACACATAACGTTTCAGTCAACAATAAACAGCAAATATACAATGGTGGTCCCATAAGATTATAATACTGTATTTTTACTCTCCCTTTTCCATTTTTACATATGTGTAGACACACAAATACTTATCACTGTGTTACAAATGCCTACAGTATTTGGCACAGTAATGCTGTACAGCTTTGTAGCCTAGGGAACACCCTGCTACACCATCTAGATTTATGTAAGTACACTCCATGTTTGCACAATGATGAACTCTATCCCCATCACTAAGCCACACAACTGTAAACGTAATTCAGCTGAGATGTGACTGTATGTATACTCAATATACTACATGTAAGAGTACACTCCATGTTTGCACAATGATGAACTCTATCCCCATCACTAAGCCACACAACTGTAAACGTAATTCAGCTGAGATGTGACTGTATGTATACTCAATATACTACATGTAAGAGTACACTCCATGTTTGCACAATGATGAACTCTATCCCCATCACTAAGCCACACAACTGTAAACGTAATTCAGCCGAGATGTGACTGTATGTATACTCAATATACTACATGTAAGAGTACGCTAGTGTATATAACATATAGTATACATAATGTATATATCTACGTGTATATTTATATACAGTGTGTATATATACATAAACACCAGAAAAACAAGGAAGAAAATAAAGTTCACACAAGTATACTGAAAATTATTCAGTGAAAGGACCTTAGTTATACTAAATATGTTTATACCTAGATAGTGTCTATTAAATTTCAGAACTTAAAAAAATAATGCAAGTAGCCCATCAGAAGTAGAAAACAGGTTAATTTAAAAGTTTACCAAAGAAATTCAAACAAAAGTTTATGAAAGTCAAAAAATCAGAATTTAATTACATAGAAATGTAATTCAAAAACTTACATTTCAGAAATATAGAGGTATTTCTGAAGAGGATCTTTCCAAAACTAAAATAATTTTTCCCCTGAAAAGATAAAGGATAGATAATTGGCATTATTAGACCACTTTAATTCCCAAAGCAAACTGTAACTAGCTAAATTTGTAAAACGTTCATATTATGTTTTCTTAACCAAGAAAATACATCAACACCCTTCCTTTCAGTAAAGTTTAACCATATCCAAACTGCAGGATTTTTCTGCTTAGCATGGAGACATGATTTTCTTCCCAGAGGCCATGAACTAGACTCTAGAAGTGAGGCTGCCAGAAATTCCAATTTAACTTAAAATCTTCATAGGATATACTCCTTAATCTGTTCATTCCTATTACTAATCACTGCCCAGAATCACCAATTGTTTTTTAAATAAACTATGTTATGAGCAGACAGCCAGAGTTTTATTTTTAAATCTAAAAAGACTTAACTATTGATCAACTTAGTAACAAGTAAAAAGTTAAAACTGAAAACATTAGGATCTTCACCAAATGAATAAAAGCTATAATGCTTGCCATGTGAAAGCCCAAATAAGGTTTGGGCATTATAATCACTGAGCAGAGCAGAATGAATACCTCTTATTTAAATGTAGTTTAAAAGGGGAGGGGGGAAGAGTAGAAAGAGTCAGCCTATTTAATTATCCAAATGAATGACTAGACTTACCATATTATACTTTACCTTGCTACTTCTTCCATTTTAACCATTCCCATTTTGAAATGCATTTTTAAAATCTCTATGCTTCCTAATCACTCAGCAAAGACTAATTTCTTCAAAGCGATATAAACCATCTCGTAAGTAGATGGTTTTACCCAGAACAAAAAAAGTACAGAGGAAAAAAAAAAAGAAATGAAGATGCCTACTACATACCCCTCTCAATAACCCAGGGACATTAGATCATGAAATTTAATCCGAAAGATAAACTACTCTCCGTCTATATATTAAGTTCACATATTTCTAAAATCAGGTACTAAAAAGTTCTGTTACTTTTCTGATGAGACGCCACTCCTCTCCCTCCCGTTGCTGAAGCGGCCCTGACAGTCCAGCTAGCCTATCCATGCCGCTAGGCTTTCCACTCCAGGGAGGTGAGTCCTAGTCCGCCACTGACACAAACCATCCCAGCAACCCCACCCCTTAGGAAGCAACTTTTGCGGAACATTCATGGACCCCTACGGCCGCCGTAGCCCCACCCCTTGCTCCTCCGGGTTTAGTCGCTGCTCAAGTAAGCACTCACCGATGGTATCGGAATGTGCCACTTGGACCGGTCGGCAGCAGACACGGGTGCCGGTCCTGCACCGAAAAGCGACAATGGGGGCGGCTGAGCCACCAGAAGCAGAAGAATGATAGGTAACACCTGAAGCCACGCAACCGCCGCCATCTTCACAGCCCTGGAGCGCCTACCGATAGCATTTCACCTTCTTCCGGTTCGCCCCGCCCTCTTCCGGCTCTGCTCTAGGGGCGGGATTACCAGGTCTTCGAAACCTCGCGAGGTTTGTTTGCTGCGCTACCCAGAAGCCCCTCCCTCAGACTGTGGTCCGTTCATTCTACTGCGGACCTACTACGCAGGCGTCATCCAGTTAGTACCCGGTCAGCAGGGTTAGTTTAGGGTGATCAGATTATACCTAACTTCAGTTTTCTCTTTCCTGGCCCTTAAAGGGTTTGTTGACCAAGCAAGCACCTTGTGCTGCGTTTAGATGTCTCCTCCCGCTTTCTCCAGCCCTTCATCCCTTCTAAGTCAAAGTCAGACGCTGGGACCGCAAGTCTGGTAAAGCCGTAGATGTGGCTGCCGGATTGGCGTCTAGTAGTGGGTTCTCGGGCTTGGGAAGGTGTTTAAGCAAAGGCTGAAATTTGGTGGTGATGGAGTACAAGTGATTCCTACACTGGGTGGTGTAATAAATAGCTTTCAAAATCATTTTCTACCCCTGAAAAGTACGTGGATGCTGCAGTAGGATCTGGCCAGAGACATCCTCCAGCAAAGACCCAATCGCAACTTCCCACTCAAAACTAAAAATAGGGAGAGTGTGGGTCAGTTTTCAAAATCTGTGGCGTCACCGTCACGGAGATAAACCTACAAATGCTTCGGCCCAATCAACGTGACTGCCTCGGTACTTCTGGTTCTCACGCTATTGACTTTTGTCCTCTGGAGCACACATGCTCTCACCGCTGCTAAGACAGTTTCGGTTCCAAATAAAAGCATGTTCCACATCAGACACCCATAATCAAGAAAAATTTGCCAAATAAATCATCGTAGAAACGCTAGTTTGGGCCTGGAAATTTCCAGGAGCAAGAGTCAAGATTAGTCACTCCATAACGATCTGGAGGAGACTGCTTTTCTCAGACATTTGAGAGTGGTGAAGTGCTGGCCGAAGGGTTTTTGAAGAGACCGCCCTCCGCCTTGGCCTGAGTCCTGGTAACCGGTCGGAGTGACTGAAAGCCATGGAAGCAGCTCAAAAAGAGGAAATCAGGTAAAGACCCAGGGCTCCTGCAGCGCCTGACCCCAAGCCCACAGAGGCAGGGGATAGCTCTGGAAAGTACCTAACATTTCCGGCTTTGAAGTTTTCTGTTGTTATTTTTTTTTTATTCCACTTTTTATTTAAATGTTTGGTGTTTGTGCACTTTTCCTTTTTTCTCATTTCTGCAGAGAGTTAGTTGATATTAATAGCCCCTCGAAAGTACTTTGAGGATGGTTAAAGAACATCAGCAATGGAAAAGTTGTGATCAGAGCTCTAATGCATCAGTTTCAAGCATGTTACTTTCCAAATTCAGCTATCCTCACCTCTTTCTATATCATTTTCAGAGCTCGTTCTGTAAAGCTAGAAAGAGGAGACTACAAATTTCTCTATCTTTGCGCACTCAAAGGAAACAGTGACAAAGACTGAGTCCAGGAAAGATAAAGAATTTTTTAGTATGGTTAAATGTATCTACCTGGGCTTTTATAGTATTTGCAAATTTGTGTTTATTCTTTTCTTCCTACTTAACCATGAATACACTTATTATAGATGTATTCAGCCACAC